ATCCGAACTCCGGTTCTCTACGCTTTCTGATTACGCCGCGTAATGGTGGGAGTGGGAATCGGAATGGAAATCGGAATCCAAATGGAAATGGAAATGGGCTTGGAGGTGGGAAAGGAAGTGGGTGAAATTTCGCCAGCTGAATGCTGAATGCAAATCGTAATTTGTGGGCTTAACGTTTGATGGGTTTTTAATAAATGTGCAAAGGCAGTTAACCGTTCCAGTTGGAAATCGAGAGATTTGTTAGCTGGTGATTCAGTGATTGACTTCTGACTGAGTGCAGATGATACCAGATTTAAAAATTGAGATGAATACAATTAATCTTAATTTATATTCAAACAAATAAAAGCACATTCTAAGGGTGAGAAAATTGTGTATTGACATTATTATTAAGGTACTTTTTATAAATGTACTTGTAAAATGTTTCAAAATAATCATTATGCTATTTGATTGATTGTCTTTTGACTAATAAACTAAATACAATCATCAATACTGTTTAGCCAAATGGAATAACATTCTGAGGATGAGAAAATGTTATATTAAGAATAAAAGTTTGTTTAATGGATATGTACCAATAAGTACAATCAGATAATAATATAAATTAATAAATTGTCAGTCATACTTTAAATACATTGTTATACATTTTGTACACTAATTAATCTTCAATAATATTCAAGAAAAATGCTACATATTCTAATGGTGGAAAAATGTTATATGAATTATATTAGGTTGTTTATCCCAAATTTGTCAACGAGTACTTTTAGTAAATTCCCAAATCATTATGCAAATTAATTGATCTTAAACCCAATCAACAGTTTTAGTGAACTGGAAACATGAGGGATTACAATGAATAAGCAATCATAATTCGCGGCTTGGCATTTGATGGGACTATAATAAATGCGTCTCACTTGGAAATTGCCAAAATTTGTCAGCTAATCCAATGTGGGATTGACTTCTGACTGGACCCGGACCCGGGACCCGAACTCCTTGACTCCTTGGCCAACGGAAGCTGGCTAATAAGGGGATTCCCCGTCTCTCGGACTGTCTGTGTATGAATCATGCGCAGCTTTGACATTTATGGCCTCAATTTATTTGATAAATTTCACACGCACGTTATCAATTGGCTCGACAGTGGCTCCCCTCGGTGGTGGCAATAAATTTTGACGGATTAGTTCGCTTATGAGTGGCATCGCCGAGAGACTGGAAGGACTCAAAGGACTCGAAGGACTCGCTATCCAAACAGACGGGTGGGCGAAACTATTCGGAGCGGGATAAACTGCAATAATGGCCATTATTATTTATTTTTATTTTCCTCCCCGCTGTGTGGCGTATCAATTTTCGTAAAATATCGATGCCCGGTTATTGATAACCGTGGCCAAAGTCATATTATTTCCCAGCTGCGGACCGGAACCGGCGTGAAAACCCCTCGGATTGATATATTTTCACATTTCCAGCCTGCTCAAGCCGTGCATTTGTCAATTTTGGTTGGGGCGGCATCTGATTCCCCAGATTTTGATACCGGGTGAAGTCATCTATGCGATGATTCCGGTGCAAATGAGATAGCTATAAAGATTACAAAACTGTGGGGTGGCAGAAATATAGAATTGGAAAAAAAAGCAATGGTTCGTACTAAGGCTTGTCTAGGAAAGGGAAAATAAATTACAAGCGATAAGTTTTTAATACTTCTTTATATCTTCTCCAACAAATTAGGGGAGGTCTTTAAAGAGAAATACATTATACACAATAATATGTATAATGTACTGAGCTGAGCTAACAATAGCAATAATCAATAGCACTTACAGACCTTAACATTCAAGAAGCACAAACATTTAGTTATCCACATTGTTGAGCCCCTTAATGAACATTTTCCAGTTGACCATAAGCTGCATTTAACCAAATCACGGTAATTGCCCCAATCGAGACAATTTGCCGAAACCAATTGATTAATTAATAAGGTGCTCAAGCTCGCTGGAAGCTCGGAATAGAACTGGAACCCGTTTTTGGGAGTGCCTAGTGCTCCAGCCCCCCAGATTTCGGGCTACCAACATAATTTAAAGCTAATTAATTTTCCTGGCGCAGCTCATTCGAAATACATCAATCAAACTCGAGTCGGGGCTAATTGCATTTACCTGATGACGGTTTTCATTCTGGTACCGCCCCTTCTTCGGGTTTCCGTCAATTGGTGACAAATTATTCACGCTGTCATGTGGAACACTTTTCGTGTGTGTGCTTTGCATTGGTTTTTGAATTTGGATTTGGGGTTTTGGGGTAGTTGTTCCCCCAAAATGAATTAACAGCGGTGAAAGAAAACGCTGATTAGGTATTATAATTAGTGGTTTGTTGGTTTTAATATTTCCCGTTTATTTGAATGGGTTCAATTACCGAAAACAATCAAGAAATTAAAATTTTTGTTCTGGTTTATGCTTTGGAGGGAATTAAGCTTTTGATGGGTTCGGGAGCATTGATGTTGACTGAAGCTAATTGACACATTCAAAATGTATAATTACTTATTTATAACCAATTTAAATTTAGAAACCACCTGGCAACTGTAATGTACCTATCCATTAGAGTTTACTTAGAAATAATAGGTTTATTTAGCTATCAAGCATAAATATTTTACATATACAGAGAAAATTCTGACGTTCTCATCTGAGTTGAAAATTTGTTCTTAAAAAATAGGACCCCATTTTTGAGGTTGAAAAGGTTTTCATTCAGCTTGAATCAATTGAACTAGTCAGTAGTGTATACTTATCAGAAAGTTGTTAAATAAACTCAACTTAACATTTTTCTTCTCACATTGATATCAAAATGTACTTACACGGTTTTTAAGAATGAATGTTCTCAATTCAAGAACAATGCACTTGAATATTTCTCTCCGTATACTTATTTACATAGGACATAGTATAATTTATTTTTATTTTTTGGTTTTCTTGGTATTGCTTAGAGGACCCTAATTTGTATGCAGCCCAAAGCAAAGTTGCTTACACCCAATGCAACTCATACAAACTATCCAATTATTAATTTCAATGTGCTGCCCTTTGGTGACCCACAAAGAAGACATAGCGTGGAACCCCAGAGCCATCAAGATGAGCTCAAGATAGGGTCTGTGGACGTGTTCGTCAGGCCCCTCGATATGAGAATTATGGGGACACGTTGCTATCGCCAAAATCTAATGCCTAATCCTCGAAATTAATTACCTTCGCTGCACCTTTGCCATACGCCCCTTACACATTTCATGCAGACTGTTCCTATGAAATTGAGCGAAAGAAAAGAAAATTCCATGTAGCTAAAGGCGATCCTAGTGCCCAGATACGAGTATCCTCCAGACACTAGACTTATGCCCGTGCACGTTCCACGGCGAGAGCATCAAGATACAGATGAAAAAAGTGGAGGCGGAGGCCACTTGACGCTTCCTTCGTGTACACACTGTACTTGCACTGGAAAAAATGTTTAAGAAATATTATTAGTCATATTTTGTATTATTATATATTGTTATTATATTTAAAGCCTTTACTACAAATTAAATACATACATTAAAAAAAGTCTGCTGCTAGTCATGGAAATTGGTTTTGTTTTAAATGAATTTTTACGGCTTACTTAGTAGCACTAATATTTAAGTAGTTTTTGGATAAATAAATCTCAAAAATAAATTTAAAATAAATAGTTTTGCAATGTTTATCCTGAAAGATATTTAAATTGTTTAGTAACACTGTATGTAGGATATAGTCCTCTAGTGCAGCTATGTTTCTTCCAGTGTTTTCACTCTATGGTTTGGGTTATAGATGACCCAGCCATCGTCAACTTCATCGTCATGTAAATTTTTTAAATATAATTGGCCTAATATTTTAGCCCGACTGTTCCTAATGCCCGGTCCCAGACACGTACTACGAGTGTGGTTCGAGGCCCCTGGGCCACTCGCACTCGGTTACTTGGCCCCAAACTCCAAACTCCACTCGTACTGGCACTCGGGCTGCAGGCCATGATTTTTATCAGTTTACCTTAGTTTGTGTTTGGCTAACGCACCCAATTTTTCACGAAATATGGGTGTAGCCCGTTGCCAGTTGCCTAATGTGGAAACCTCCTTCCATCCTCTGGTTTCAGCCCAACCCAACAAGCCGACCAAACTAGCAAACAGCAAACAGAAACGACACAATCCGTGCATTAGCCAAACTCAAACTCAAACTCAAGCCCAACTCCATGCCATTTGTTTGCTGAACTTTTGATATTTTCCAACCAACTCCGAGAGTTGTCAGTTGGGATCCGCGAACCTTGGCATTTGTCTGGTCGATGGTCGATATATCTATGAATCTGAATCTGTGGGGCAGGTGCTGAATGAGATCGCGGCCTGGGAATATTAAATCTAGCACTTTGGCTGGTGAACCAACAAGAACTATGAATTGACATTACCCGAAGATACCAATCGCATATCGAGATACCAAGGCGCTAACGGTCTTATTTAGGGGGTTAACTCTAAGGTACTTAACCAAATATGTAATTTATTTCTAATCATAAAGTACACTTTGTACCTATTATTAGGTATTTACTGTAAAAGTTGCACTACGGAAAAGAAAAGCTATATTTAGTTGTTTACTCTAACAATTTAACGACAATGAAGTCATTAAATTAGTTACATAACATTTGCATAATTAAGATTATGAAGTCAATATTTCGGCTAGCCGAACCAAGGACTTAAAAGCTTAGAAAATAGAACAATTAATCGGCTTTAAATAAACAAATGTTTATTTGCACCGTTTGTGTAAATAAATAAGTTAGCGTTAATTATAGAAGTCTGTAAACCAGTTAGTCTTTTTATAGTTTAAAAATATGTTGCTAATTATTAGATTTTCAAAATTGGTTATAGTGTATGTGTTACTAAAGGTATATCACAAGAAAGATCTGGATTTGATTTGGAAACATATTTATTAGTTAATTGATTTCCGTACCAAAATAAAAGTTAAACCAAATCGGGTTTGCTTTATAATTCAAAAAACCTTAATAGAAGTTAAATAAACAAAGGCAGACACCAAGGCATTCGATTACAAATAAATTTTTTCCTTTGACTGGTGTTTTTGTGAAGATGTCCAAGTTATCGAGGGGTTTCAAGATGCCTCCCGTGGGCTCCTCATCCGTATCCTCCATTCCCGTTTCCGGAAGTGAATCGGGGCATGGTTTGGAGGGCATGTTGCACGTGACAAAGGTAAAAACTTCGGAGGTGGACGAAGCCGAGTTATATTTGCACAAGGATGGACTCCAGAAATCAAATACAGATCTGCCAAAGAAGGTTAGTACTCCGAATGTGGAAGAAGAGGTGCCAACCATTCCACCCTATGTGGCATTGGTCAGTAACTTGCCCATGGAGTGCACCGAACGGGAGTTGAACAAGGTGCTTACCAACTTTTCGGTCCGTTCTTTGACTATTCCAAAGAAGGGAAAGCGACCCAAGGGATTTGCCTACGTAGAGATGGATTCCCGTGAGGATCTGATTGGGCTTCTTAGGCTGGAGAAGCTCAAGTGCCGTGGTCGTTGTCTTATGATAAAAATAAGTCAGGATCGGGAGACCCCTGTAAAGGGAGGTGGGGATGCCCCCAGTTATGCCCCACTTCCCAGCAGCGAATTCGATGTGAATTCCGAACATTATTCAGCAAGTGTCAGTGATCTCAGCGTCATAGATTCGCCATCCAGTGAAGGTGAATCGCCATCTCCCCTCTGGCCAAAAAGTGAGTCGTCCTTCTACGGCAGGGACACCCCCATCACTCGGAAACCCAGTAGTACTGAGGAACTGGAACGCCGCATGGAAATGCGTCTTCAAAAACTGGCCGAATTCGAGAATGCCGAATCGGAGAAGGCTCAGAACGAATACCCGGAGGATCAGGATACTGTCAGCATGTCCTGGAGCGAGATCCTCAGCGAGACTAGAAACAGTGAGGGAATTTAGTTTTGTTTTTGTTAGATTTTAGTTAATGTAACCTTCAGCAAACCAAAATAAGCGGGATACTTAGAGGACTTATAAAATATATATAAAATGTAACCTGAATAAATTTGATACAAGTGCTCCTGCTTAAACCTGGATTTTCACCAAGCCTTTCCAAATAATTACCATAAAATTCAATATACACATATTGGACTGACTATGATTTATTAAAACAATAGGTTTTTGATATATTTTCCATTAAAAACCTCCACTGGCAGCCCCGGCCAATGTCGACAAGAATTATGGCCCCAAAATGAGATAATTAACAAAACTCAAAAGCTGTTAATGACCTGTAAAGTGTTGCTTTCCCCGCCTGGCAACAGCTGCAGGTTTCCAAAACCAAAACCGAAATTAAAAGAAAACAATTTATCAACAATATTGACTAAAAGCTGTCAACTGAATTAATTTAAACTGATTTATTAATGTGGCGACAGTTGGGCGATCGAACCCCTGACGTCCACAAGCCGATGGTCCGACTCTGATTTTGACCCCACCGCAGCACCCCCCGCCACCCAAAAGCCCTGCTCTTTTGGCCAACAAACAAAGAGCCAAAAACAATCCGGTAAGCATACGCTAATTGACCAACTAATTAGCGCATTTAATGGCTGTGAATTATATGTACGCCCGGTATGTTTGGATGGAACACGGTCACCGAAACAAGAAATACAGACTTGCTAATGAAATTAACGTAGCGTGGTTAATAGTTTTGCCAAATTTGGAAAATTATTTTCATCAAATCTGTCGGTTTCCAGTTCTGGTCTCGGCGTCATCTTTCTCATGCATTATCTTTATTTCTTTATTATATTTATTTCTGTGTTAATTTCCCCTCTGCACTTGATGAGTCGGCCCTTGGTGGCACGATTTTTGCCAGCGGAAAATTACTCATAGTTACCCAGACTCTATGGCGATGACTAAGGCGGCTCCATAAAAAAGCCCACATTGATTCACTCAGGATGGAAAATTCGGAGCTTCTGAGTAGATATGGAATTTGGGTTACTAATTAATATGGGAAAACTTTTTCATTAGCTAAGATACGGTTCGTTTTCAGGCGGGCTTTTATCACGAATTTGGGTTTAGTAAAAAAGTATTACTGCATGGTTATTCTAGGGCTAATCTAAAACATATTTTGTTTAAATTAACCTTATTTTGTTGGATGAAGTAAACTATAAAAAATGCATAATGATATTAGTGAGAAATAGGTTCTCTTATATATTTGACTGTAGAGGGTCTCTTGTGCTGATTCTTTATAAAATCCTTGTGCTGAAAATATTTTACATATTTTAAATTCCACTTAGGTATTCCAAATGTATATGATTTCCCATTCTGGCCCTTTTGTTGCTTCAATTTATCGACTAATTGCTTGAGGCCGCTTCAATTAGACTGGCTGTTCTAACATTTCGGCCGGTTGCACATAAAATGTCTGTCGACGGGTTTCTCCCCTATTCGCCTCGTCCATCCCTTACTCACTCCCTTTTCTCCTTTCGACCTCTGTCTCTTCTCATTAACTCAACGGTGCGGACAGCCCTTTCGAATTTGGTCAGAATCGTGGCCAGAACCGCATTGCCACTGTTAGCTTCATCTGTACACGGAGAAAAATATATTCAACAAACAAAAACCATAAGATTATCTACCTTTATGGCTAAAATATTATTTTGGTATTCGCAAGGTATATTTTTATTATTTATTATTAGTATAAGCATTTAAAATTGTAAATTTGGTATTGAGAAATGCTATTTCTTCCTCTTTTTATAAATGTTCTTAAACAGAAACTCTCTAGTAAGTTAAAGTAAAACGCCCCGTATCATGATTTTATTGATCCTAATTTCATCAAAATGTTCATCATATCTAATCCTTATTTGTCTCTGTGTGGTATTCAATGGTGCCAGTAAAGTCATAGTTGATTTAAAATCATTAAAAATTGAAGAAAATATAAAGAAACAGTGTTTAATGTTAATGTTAAATGTTATCATCTAAATATCTCTTAAAAATATCTAGAGAGTCCTTTGGGATTCACTTAATATATTTATTATCAATTTATATATTAACCTGGTTTGATTTTCATTTATCAAAAAACCTTGAAATCTCTGTGTAAAATATATTTCATTATTCCTTTTTGTGTATTCAAGTATCAGGCCAGAAGCCAGGAGCCACGTCCGGAATGCGGAATGTTCTGGCCATTGCCGTTGCCAATTTCCGGAAAATGGCAATGGGCATCACGAGCAGCAGCAGAAGCGCCAGCCGTTGGGCGTAAATTAAAATTAAATTCAAATGGAAAAGTGTCGTCGCGGCGACCTGGACTCTGGCACTCCGCAGTTGGAGCTGGAGTTGGAGTTGGAGTTCGAGGAGGAGTCCTGGGCTCTGGCCATTGGCCATTGGCACGTCTGTCGGTTTATGCAACATTTTAGCAATTATATTCGCGTCGGGCGACATTACAACGGCAATTACACGCAGGAGCCGCAGGACATGCCCGTGGGCGGATGGCCGTGGAGTTTGGGATGGGGGCGTGGCATTCCGGCGGCCCTGTCATCGTCACGTGGAGCGGCAACGTGATCAACTGACGCACGGCTCTGATGGACGACAGTTGCCGCCGCAGAGGGTCCTGTCACTGGCAGACTGGATGAATGCCCGAATGTCTGGCTGAATGGGCCACCGGCTGGCTGACTGACTCCGATGACTGGATGTGAAGTGCAGGACAAAAATGTTGAACTTAATAGCTGGAACTACGACACTGGGAAGTCCTTTTCCTATAGGGATAACTAATATGTTAGCGGTAATTAATTTTATAGGGACAAAAGGTCCTAAAGTGCCAAACTAAAAAGATCGAGAGATGATTAATAAATGTGAGTATGTTGGTTTACAGAAGTACCTACATGATTACATAACAGAAAAATTTTATTATTTAAGAAAAATAATTTTATTACTATTTTAAAAATAATATGGTTAAAAATATTAAAAGAACAAGCTATATGATTATTTTTTATGTAAAACATGCAGTGTAATTTTTTTATTCTAACACTAAAGTGGCTTACAAAATTTTATTACTTTGTTATATTAAAATTATCTAAAAATATTTAAAAACCTTAAATTAAGAGTATACGAAAGGAGTTTCAAATATATTTAACCCGCTTGCCTAGGTGGGCGTTTGTCCCGGGGGTTTGGGTAAATGAAATAAAATAAATGTATGAAAGCAATAACCGACCGACATTACATAAAAATCTACTTGGCCAGGACACATTATTTGTGTGTGTGCGACGTGGGCCTATTTAGGTGGTTGTGCGTGTGTGTGCTTGTGTGCGGAATATGGCCGACACTTCCGTTCGACATGTTGCACATGTTGCTCCCGTTTCCGCTACGCCCAACTCAACACGATTCGGCGCAACTCACCTCATCTAACCCACCATCAACGCCCACTCCACACTGAAAAGAAATAGTAATATAATTATAATATAATAATAATACAATTGATTATGGAAATATGTTTGAAATGGATCTTACGGCCTTAGAGAAGTGAAAAAATATTTTTTGAAATGTAATGTATTTGTTTTAAGTGCTAAGTACTAGGAGTATCTATGGAAATTCTTCATGGAACTATATTGGTTTTATAAACTTAGGCAAGTGCAAAAATATTTATTGAAATTATAAATTTATTTATTTATTTATTTATAAAGAGCTAACAAATAATTGAAATTATCAGCTAGCAATGATGTTGAGCAATGGCGACGTGGGCCTTCAGCTCTGAAATTATAAAATTTTATTTATTTTAACTGGTAAGAGCTCAGAATATTTTGTAATAATTGAATTTCAATATTAATTGATTTTAGGGTCGAACATAAATATCCTTGGGGCATACTTTAACAGAGTGCCATAAATTTTTAAATATTAATATTTTGAAATGCCTCCCTATGGATGACTGGTAATTTCTCTTCGTGTACCCCCACCAACTCCCATAAAATACAATATACCGGAGTCCCCATATAGTATGATGTTCCTGTAGTTGTTATTGTTGGTCACGCATGGTGTTCCTGTCGCTTGCTGTTTTTATTGCCGAGCTTCCTGCCGTTCGCTTGTTTCATAATTAATATCCTTTCACACATTATTATAACGGAAATGAGTGGGGATATTTTTATTTTATTTTTGCACACACACACACACGCCCATTTTTTCCATTTTATATCTGCACATACACTCGCATATCTGCCCGTGTGTGTATGTCCTGCGGTCGGGCAGCAGGAGCTTGTTAAGCATTTTATGCGTTTGGTTTTCCATAAATTTCATTCCGACACAACCCAAACAAGAAGTGTGTAATTAAAAGCTCATGAAAAGTGATTAAAAAGTGAGTTGCGGCTACGCTCGGCGCCATATATTAAATGTTTTCGCCCCCTCCCCCATAAAGTTGTCAAAACAATGCCGAACAGAAAAAACAAACTGAGCGATAAAAAATGAAAAATAAAATATTGCAATTTTCAACCAGCTGATGCTGAGGTCAGCGAGGCCAGCTCAACTTTAAGGTACTCTACAAACATTAAAAGAGATAAGGAAAAACATATAAAATCGTAAAAAAACATGGAATTCTAATGTTTACCACATCTTTTGTATCTTAAAGACCGCTTTACATGTGCTCTCTGAACTAATCAAGAGAAGTCAATGCCATCTTGTAAAGCCATTTATGGGGTCTTCTCATGGGTATCAAACTGGTTTTCCCCAATTTCCGTCAATCAAGAAAACAAGCAAAGCGTTTTAACGCGAATTGGGCTCTAACAAATGACTACCAATCAACTAACAGGTTTGAATAAAATTTGGATTTACAAGGGCGGCTGATTCTTACTGAAAAAAGAATGGGTAAATGTTGTTGTGAAAAAAAGAAGCCCTATGTCTTCCAGAACATATTTTAAAATTTCCTGTAAACCTGACCGCTTCAACTGATTGGTCTACTCGTCCATCCATTCACCACAACCGCAACATTTCCTAGAGTTTCTCCTAGAACTCTAGGCTGACTCATATCCTTGGACCTGTGACGCCTTTCTTTGGGTGGAGGTCCTCTTGGGGGCCGTATTTAAGGATTAGCATTTAAGAACATATTTATGGTATGCATAAAGATATTTAAAGTGTCCTGCTGCTGGCAGGCTTTTCGGGCGATAACCGGCTTACACGCATGTCCCTGCCAAGGATGACGCATGACTTAATGCCACGGATTTTGGGGGCAGTATGGGGAGTTCTTGGCCCGGACTGTGGTCTCCGGACTCCGGACTCCGTTCTCCTCTCTCCGTTCTACGGACTCCGGGTTCCGAGTGCCGGATACGGGGCCTGTGACAGAACTATCGCACATGCAGGCCCACGGAACGGAACGCATGAGTGGCATTCCCGCGTCATTTCCATACGCGACCACTTCGCCCGATTCGCGTGTTGCGTGCAATTTGCGTGTAATTCTTGAAAATTCTGGAGGAGGTGGTTAAGGCAAATGGGTGGTTTTGGTGGGGGGTGCTCAACTCAACTGCAGCAGTGTCCTTTCGCCGTGCGTGTGTGTGTGTCATCGCTACGCGCGGCACATAAATCATAAGCACAAACTGCGTCGCTGCAAACAAACAGCGGCATGGAAAAGCTGAAAAAAGGAGTTGTTAAATTTTCAGGGGCTATCCTACTCCGAAATACCCTTTACACTGATTTTATGAAATGGAAAACCCTAAAATAAAGTGGAACTTCTCGCAATTGAAGTTCCTACAAGGAGTGAAATATTTATGTACATTGTTCTTGATTTGAGAACATTCGTTTTTAAAAACCGTGTAAGAACAATATTAAAATGAATTGGTGAGAAGACAAATGTTATGTAGAGTTCATTTAACAACTTTTCAATAAGTATACACTATTGATATACAATTTAGATATCGCCAATTCAGATTTAAGCACAATGAAATTATTTTCATCTTCAAAAATTTCGTTATATTTTTAAGAACATTTTGAACTCAGATTAGAACGTCAGAATTCTCTCTTTTTAATAGAAGAACCATATTAAATAAGTACGTAAACATTATTAAAATAATTTTAAAACTTAAAATATCTTAAACAATATTTTTAATACAAGGAAAAATTATATCACTAACATTTAATCAAGAACAAAGTCATTATTATGATCATCCCACATACCATAAAATCAAAAAGTCAAAATACCTGAAAGTATTGTATCTGAGTATACTCTATTCGCTAAACGAACAAAGGGTATGAAAAAAGGACGCCAAAGTGAATTGCGTAATTTATGCTGCGCAGGACGCGCAAGGAAGTGGCAGAGCAAAGGGGCGTGGTGGGAAGGCAGGGGGCAGGAAGGAAGGAAGCAAGGAAGCGAACACGGACGCACCGTGCCAGGGATGACTGTACCACCGGCAGAGCTTGCAGTTTTCCACCCAAATGGAACTCCCATCGGGAAAATGGCTATTCGAAGTTTCAGCTGCGACGCAATAAGGAAAACTGCGATTGTCTTTAACTTCGAAGCAACCCTCCTCCAGAACAGAATCCCATCGCTTTGTACTTCCCCCTGTAATCCAGCTTTGAATTCAATCAAAGGAGGGTGAAAACCCAAGGAAACTGCGCAGTGCGTCAAGGAAACTCCATCCCGAAGCCCTGAGCGGAAAGTTGCCGTGGAAATCCTGAGAAGTTACATATGTTGTGGCGGAGTTCAAGAGCTGATCTTTGTCGTAAGCCCTTAAAACAACAACCGGTCCTGAAGCATTCTGGTTGTCAGGGATGTTGGTTTTTCAAAGATGATATCAGTCCTAACCTAAAGTGAATGAAAAATACTAAGTAAAGTGATGAAAGTGTTCTTAACAGACTTGTCTAGATGGCTTACATTTCATACAACTGAGTTCGTAAAGATATAGATAAGTTATATATTTTAAGTAACATAGGATCATCAACTTTAAGGATCATCAACTTTATCATATATCTTTAGTTAAATTTTTAATGGTTCATGATTTTGGAGTTACTGTACTCAATATAAATTTTTAAGCAAATAACTTTATAACTTTCTTTAATAACACAAAAAAGTAGTGCGTAAGTAATCATAAAAGCTTTCAAATTATTTATTATAATTAAGCCTTAAATAATGCATTTTAAAAATTAAAATTAAATGTTATTAAAAGTATTAGTATTTAGTTTGTCCATCTATGACTTTTGCTAGTTTTCTCTCTGTACTGAGGAAATCCATTGTATAAAGTTAAAGCCACATTAAGTGCCTTGCTTATGTACTCGTTACCTACATATTTCCCATTACTTACTCCCGCCCACTCCACTTCATTCCAATCCAATCCGATCCGATCCAATAGAGACCTCTCCTCGGTTGCGTTTTATTTTCACATTCTATGTTACTGGGGTCGTTCTGACACACACAATAGTGACAGGTCGGTCAGTGGAAAATATGAATACCACTTGAGCATGTTAACCCCGAAAGGCGTTTATAAAACTGTCCAAGGCTATTAATATCAAAATTCCGCACACAGAGCAACCGCCTCGGGCGGCAACTGCGCAGTGTTTTGGTTTTGGTCGGAGCGGAGTCGGGCGAAAAAAATTGAACAGGACACTGACACGGACACCCAACTAGCGGGGTCCCCCGGTCCTGGTCAGCCCATGAAGCGCAACGGACGGACGGACAGACTGACGGACGGACAAACTGACGGACAGACTGACGGACGGACAGGCCGAATGAGAGTGGCATGTTTGGCGTCCATGAGGCGGAAATAAAAGCGCCTGGCAACAGGGCGTGTGGAGGGGTCCTTGGTCAGTGGACGGAGGATTATCAACAGGCAAGCACACTCGCACACCCGCGCAGATACCTAATAAAAACAGGAAAGA